CTCGCGTTACCAAGCAAAATCTGATACTATTTATCATTAGCCTTAAAATGTATTGTAATTTATTTCATTTACGTAAGAAAACACATTTTTCTTTAAATATATAAGTCAAATTAATCTTTATTTAAGTGTCGAATGGGTCGTAGTTTGAACACGTCACTTTGAAGATGAAGCTTGTGCTGATATTTTTCAAACTGTTGATCAAATGATATAAAAATTTAATTAACTAGCTGAATCCAGTGACGCTTTTCTGGTCTGTATTTCTGTCGTGATTTTTGATTAAAAATTCCTCTACATTACAAGAGTACACGTCACAAAAAACAGAAAAAAATATTCTCTGCTGTGATAGATTGAACTGTAGTAAAAATAACTACATAATAATAATTATTATTAAATATTGTGATATTGTTGTGTCGCATCATTTAAATTTGCTAATGTTCTGATTTGGTGTTTTTTTATTTTATTAATATAAGTTTCCAAATATTATTAAGGGGGGAAGGTTTTGCGAATATATTATAATGCTAGCTTTCCACAAGCGGTTTGACATGCTTCGTTCCTAGGGAGTTAGTATTATCAGGGATAAATGGTAGCCTACGTGTTAATCCAGACTTAGAATTAACCGTATGTCAAATTTCAACAAAATCCGTTAAATATTTTTTGCGTGAAGAAGTATCCTTACGTAAATTACAAACATCCAAAGTTACATACTTTCTCCTTTATAATATTAGTAAGATTGTTATTTTTATTTGAATAATTTTAAGTAAAAAATAAGGTATAAATACTCACCTTCATAAGGTGCCTGATGGAGATGTTTTATAAAACCCGTAGTGCGGGTATTATTAATGTAAGAATTTGGTTTTTTGACCTTTAAAATTCCTTACCATAAATATACGAGTAACTCGGTAGCTACTAGATAAGCGCCACGGACCGCGATCATTTTTGCTACGTGACTTCCGCAAGGGTAGATCACTGGATGGGTGAGTATCATCTCTAGTTACTCGGTGATTCGCATGGCACGTTAAGCTGTTGGTCTTGGCTGTATGTACAGTCCTTAATACCCTCTAATCCATATTATTCCAGCGTGGACGGTCATGGCCCATCCTCCTTAACCAACCATTCATATAAGGAAAGCCTGAGCCCCTGCAGAGGGAACGTCAAAAGACTGATGATGATGATGAATACTATTATTATAATACGGACAATAAATAATGCATTGTGCATTGTTGGTTATCCTATTGTCTGAAATACCATCAGCCCGATGGTGATGAATATGTGTAAATTAAGAAAATGTTCAAACAGTCGAAGAAAAGTCACGTCCGCAGGCTTTGGCCCTTTGTTACCCTGCACGTGTCCCCCGGGTGGCGCCAACGAGCAGCAGAGGGAGCCTGTCAGGCGTCCTGGACTTATTCCGGGTAGCGGCTGACGGGCTGGGAGGAGGAGGGTTCGACCCCTTCGGGTAGGTCGTTGTTGGCCCTTTTCAGGGCCGTCGTGAGGTGCGTAGGGGGGCGGTAAGACCCAGTTTCGGGTCGCGCTCTGGGGTGTTTCCCTTTTAGGGAGTCTTGTGAGGAGAGGTTCTGGGTCGGCGTCCTGACCGTATGTCAGGTAGCGGCGACGCAGTCCGGGCTGGACGGGCGTCTCGGGAATGACCCGAGTAGCGGCCGTGCTAGCGAGGGCGGTGGGCCTGCCGTGTCGTGGTGCCACGAGCGGTGGGTGTCCTTTTCAGGGCAACTACCGGCCGACCCGTTACCCCGCGCTGAGCGGGGCCGGGGGGGCTTACCTTTGCTGGGCGGTCCTGTGTGGGGATAACCACGTTAAAAAGTCACCAAGCCCAAGTTTGCCGTGGGCGAGGGGATGGGTGGCAGCTGGTAGAGCTGTCGTTACACGGCCTCTGGAGGCGGGGACCAGCCGACCCCCGCCTTCACAACCCTAGGCTTACCCGGGCATGGAGCCTCTGCTCGGGTGGACCTATATTTGCTGCCACACTCGTGGGACTAACATGGAGAAAACTAACATTAAAACCAAAAACTTAGCTGAGAGGGGGCCTAGCTCAGGCGGAAGAGAGCGGACTAGCAGTCGAGATGATGTTGCAGGCATGTGGAACTCAAGTGAGATTCTTGGAGTGATGGAGAGGATGGCTTCGAGTCGTGATGATTGCGAGGACTTGATGACCAGGATTCCCCCAAGAGTAGAGGAAATTACCAGGGGCGAGAAGGAGCACCTTGAAAACCTAATGGAGAAGAGGGATTTAAAGGAGCTTCATGACAATTGTCTGCTGCTCCTTACCAACCACATGGAGGACCAGACGGACCACGGCAAGTGCTATGAGTATTGCCACCGGAGTCTTGTAGAAGGACTTACCCTTATAGAGCGGCTGAGGGAAAGTGCTACCAGTCTCTTTAGGGAAGGGGAGGCACTGAGGCTCGAGGTGGAGTCGCTGAAGCGAGGTGATGGGAAGATGACTGTCGGGTCCGTCTGTGATGTAGTAACGCAGACTGACGCGGCCGATTGCAGAAGGAGCAGGACGACGAGTACTCAGACACCGGCGATCTTACCCGGTGCCCCTAGAGTGACTCGCCCTGCGCCTATGTTGATGGACAAACAATCTGTGCCAGGGGCTTCTCGTAAGCCGAACACATCTGAGGCACCCAAGGCTCCTCCTGGGGAGTTGAGCCAGGGTTTGAGCTGGGCACAGGTTGCTAGGAGGGGTAAAAGGAACAGGGAGGGTGCTGGCAACAAGGAGACGAACACTGGGGCAATAAAGCCCCCTGCGCCGGTGGTTGCGCAGAAGCCGCCCCTTTCTCATAAGAAGAGAGGAAGACATAAGCCTAGAGTGCCAAACACCACTGCAGTGGTGATATCTATCCCCCCTGAGGCGGAGGCCAGGGGGGTGACGTACGAGAGGGTCCTGGCGAAGGCCAGAAAGGAGATTGCACTCCCGGAACTGGGTATTCCGGGAGGGGTTAATATGGGGAGGACAGCGACGGGGGCTCGAATTCTGAAGGTGCCTGGAGCTGATAGCGGGGTGCAGGCGGACCTGCTTGCATCTGAACTGAGGAGGTGTCTGGGTGACTCTGTTGAAATCACAAGACCGGTCAAAAAGGTCGATATGAGAGTGACCGAGCTCGATGACTCGGTCACCTCAGACGAGTTGAAGATGAAGCTTGCGAGGCAGGGCAATTGCCCTCCGGAGCAAATTGTGATGGGACCCATCGTTGAAGGCATTGGGGGCCTTAACACGGCTCTTTTGAGGTGTCCTGTGGCGGCGGCGGATACTCTAGCCAAGAGTGGACGCCTGTTGGTCGGGTGGACATCCGCCCGGATACGACGCCTGGAACCCCTACCCATGCGCTGTTTTAAGTGCATGGGGACGGGGCATGTGCGGAGGGTCTGCCCCTCCAAAGAGGATCGCTCTGGAGTCTGCTTCAGGTGCGGCCTGGAGGGGCACAAGGCGGCGTGCTGCCGTGAAAAGGCGCGATGCGCAGTCTGTGCTGCAGCATCCTTGCCGAGCGGTCACGTGATGGGGAGCAAGAGGTGCTCTCCACCTTCCGTACGGGCACGGTCGGTTCCCGTGCCCCATGGTACTCGTGCGGTACCGGCTGAGGACCTCCCTGAGGTGATGGACACGCACTAGCGTGCTCATCTCTCTCGGGGGGGGGACGGCTGGAGCGGCTAGCAGTCGACTGGTTCCCTGGCAGGGTTACGTCTGCCGGGTGCGCCTGTGTCGCTGCTAGTGAGAGGTACATGGGGAGTCGACCTGCGTTTCGCAGGTAAGGGGATTTCCTCTGTGGCCCCGGTATGGGTGCCCGGCTCGGCCACCACACACACCGCTGGTGTGTGTGGCGGCCGGTCCGGGCGGTACCATTCCGGGGCCGCGCAGAGAGGAGCGGCGGAGCCGGTTGATGAGGCCTGATAGCGCCCTTTTCAGGGCTGTGGTCGGGCCGTACTCCGGTGGTAGCCGCGACCGTACGGGGGGAGGGATCTACGATAAGGGCTCTGCCTGTGTGGATCCTTCCAATAGATGGGAAAGAGACTAGAGATTGCACAGTCGCGCATCTCTAGTCCCTAGTCGGGGGCAGCTGGCTGGTTTGCGCACTGGCCGGCATTGCACGTCTCCGCCCTGTCTGGGGGGGTACGTCTCGAATGTCTCTGAGATGTGCCGCCCAACCCGCGAGGGACCTGCCCTTTTCAGGGCGGGCCGAAATGGGGGCGAACCGCGCGGTGTATGGCCTCCGGGCCGATCCCGTGCATCGCCTTCCATGCGAGGGACATCGCTGAGTTTTAGTGGGTAAACTTCTGTTTCTTGTCTAGCCCCTTCGGGGGTGGGGCCACAGGAGGAGTCCCACATAACCCGTGGAGCCCGCGCTGGGTGAAACGGGTATGCGTAACGCTCAATGCTTATAAATATTTTAGATGCCAACGATGACAAACATTTTTCACATCTGACAAACATTTGTCACCGTTGGGATCTAAACGTATCAGAGTTCTACTATGGTTTTTACATTCTCTAACTATTCTGCCGCTGATGTTACGAGTACCATTATGAGTTAAGTATACATTACGCGCTGCTGTTATGATACTTTTAATGAGTTCTTAGAAAATTTGACGACACAATATGCACGAAGTAGGTTACCGTAATGAGCTCATTGTGGCGGAAACGAGTGTAAATATCCTACCTATGAGTTTTGACAACATTGTTTATAATATGAAAAACTTTTTAAAATATAAGTTCATTCAGAATACTGTTAATTTAGTGAAAAAAAAGTTTATCAGTATCTATTTAACTGGAATATGTATCAATATTGTATATACAATAAATTATAATCATAATCTTACCTTACAGGTTCATGACGCTAAACAACCATTGTGATCCTGTAGGGCGTGATCATATCATACGTTTATATATTGGTACCATATTTTAAACGCTTGGCAATAAATTATCGTTTATTGCAATGGAAACTATTACTCCTAAAATTCCTACTTTTTACAAGTTAATTATTAACATGTCATCTTAGCTCAATGTTTGTACTCACCGTCTCTTTAGCGTTATTTATTCTGTGTCCGTTCTTCCACCACGTGATGGATGCAGGTGGCCGAGACCCTGAGCTCTGACAGAGTAAATCGTATCGTCGACTCGCTGACAATGGTTGATCTGATCCTATTATGTGAACTGTGAGAGGAGGGACTGTGGAGAAAACATATTAAGTATATAATGTAAATGTAATAAAAACAGTGTGCGCTAAGATGACCAGCTGTAGGTCTGGGTAGTAATAATATTAAGTCATTTAACTTCTGTCACGGAGATAGTCAATGGAGAAAGTGGGCTTTTTAGGGTAGTTGTACCTTCGATATCTCAGATATTCTATAATTCTTAATACTTCATAAGCTTTAGCTTCTCATCTTGGAATCTAAGCAATGTATGTGATGTTGTCTCATATTTATTTATTTAAAAGAAAAAATGATCTTATTCAAATAAACACTTTTGCTATTTTTGAACAATATACTAATACGGAGGTCAAGTAAACACGTCAGGACACAGAACAGATAAAAAGGTAGAACGATTAAGTGGGCGGGGTCGTGCGACCACCCATATACCCAGACGATCATATGAACGTCACGTTACTCAAATTTCCAGTGCAGTATTTGAATATTCAAACAAAATTAACTAGGTATCAAATATATAAAACTATGACTATATAAAAGAAAAAAAGGCTAATTAAAATTATAAAAATCTAGCCCCCAAAGGGCCAGATTGTCATCACTGTCAGCTGCCCTTAATATGTGACTCCGTTGCAGCCTACTTCTGATTAAAACTGACAAAAATCGCAGTTACATTGCTACTTTAGCAAGATAGGAATTGGGCTAATTGATCGAGCCGTTTCAAGTGAAGGTATATTACATACATCGTGAAGTGATTACATATATATGGTATTTATTTTCATTGGTTTTTTATTCGTGACAGTTGCGAAATGATAAATTAATAAATTATTTTGTTATATTAACCCAATATATTAATGATTTTCTGATTATCGATATCGAATTTTGAATCACAGGGCACTTCACTATTTCAGTGTTAACAGAAGCGTAAAATTCTTTGCATTATATTTTGAAAAATTGTTTTAAAGCAGATACGTAGTGCAATAACATTTTTATGTAATAAAACATGTATTTGAAACGTTTGCAAATTAACTAATTTAATATCCGCGCACGAAATATAACACTTAGAACTAACAAAAGAATTGTGCAGAATTTTATTATAGCTAGCAAATACATTTTGTGTATTACTGTAAAATCACCTGTATTAATAGGCTAGTATACACTAATTTTGCTGAAAGTCTCTTTGTGAGCCGAATAGGTGGAATTTTACGTCTGTGTGATATCTGGCACGCGCGGTCCTAGTACTAATGTAAGTACGTTATTATTCTAAACTTTTTATCTGTTCTGTGCGTCAGGACACAATTAACGCGCCAGCGCACCTCCAAAATCAGTAAAATTGTATAATCTCAATTTCAATTTGATATTGACAGCAGTTGTGTGTTTTAAGTATATTAAAAAGTTAAGTAGTTAATAGATTTAGGTAGGAGTCTATGTGACGGGTCTTTTGACTAAGTAATACTTTTAAACTGTTGTTCCTATACCGTTAAGAATTATTTTAAAACGTTTTTAAACTTACAATTCATATCCACGGTGAGTGTAGTCTCTATAGGATGTGCCCTCGGATGATTAGAAGCTCGACAAGTGAGGGTAGTTCTGACGTCAGATCTCGTTAAAGGTCCTACTCTAATGATCCCTCTCACGCCATTCCCTGATAGTGGGGAGGCTGGAGTGTCCACTTCTACCTCGTCCCTAAACCATTTCACCCAGGGCCTTGGTCGACCTAAAACCATTTGTCAGCGTCATACCAAAGTAACAGATGTAAATTTATATGATGGAGCTCCAACAACCTCAATAAGTGCAGTAGAAATTTAAAATTTTCTTAATAGTAAAGAGAGTTGGTAATTCAATATATTTTTTTAGAATAATAGCATTATTTTAATAAAATGCTTAATTTCAATAACACATTACCATTAGTGTGATTAAACTACAAAATAGAAACAGAATTATTTTCGAATCATATTAGGAATATCAGCAACAAATTTTCGTTTTATAAGATGTATTAAAAGTACTTATTAAATTAAAATCACTTGCGATGATACACCGTCTAAAATAATTTTCGCTATGGTTATTGGATTTCTCGATATAGCCTTTATTAAATATTCTACCATCTAGATACGGTTGTTATCTTAAAATATCCACTTATTCACGGAGCAGCGCCCCCACCTAACCTAATGCGATTAAAGGACGGCAATAAATTCTTCTTGTTGAAAATTAATTAATTTCCTTCTCGCTGTGTATAATTCGCTGACGTCCATTATGAATATAAAGTAGTAGGTGCGAAAAGGGTTGTCCAGTTTTTCCTGGATGCCAATGCGGCAGACACGCTTAATGAGGGTTGTGATGTTACACATTCGTTTGCGGTCACGGGGTTAATTTCTGATGTTATCATTAGAATTTATAAAATCGTTTCCGTTTCCGGGGAAGGTTTGACAGATTACTGAATTCCTTTTCGCTGTATTAATAATGTAATACTGGTAATTATTTTATAGAAAAGTAAACATTTTAATGATTCATTTATATACCACTGGAGACTGATTAGACTTTCTGAGTTAAGGCATCGAGTTCTTGAAAAAATCATTATGTTTTTAAGGTCTATGATAGATGCCTGTTATCTATCATAGACCTTAAAAATACCTCCTTGCCGGATAACAGACTCATCCATCCGCGTGAGGTGGACCGCAGCGGGTTTTTTTAGCTAGGCCAGCCACGAAACCTGCTCTTTTGGAGAGCCCTGATTTGAGGTTTAAGGTTGCATTTCCCCTACGTTATTAAAATAAAAATTCTAAGATAGACCAGCAATTGGTAGATGCATTTGCCTGGTTTTTGAAAGGATCCCAACTTTTAGAACGAATATATATAATATTCTTGCTAGATTTTGGACAAGATAATATTTTCAAACAATTTTTATATATCTATCGATACACTTACCTCCAGAAACATCACATTTGAGTGTGAAAGTATCACCTTCTATATAAGGGCCAACTATGGCTTGTTTCACATCACCCTTATCATCAATGATCACCATCTTACTTGGAGGCACTAAAAACACAAATATATATTATTGTAATCAAATTTATTTTCTCATAGGTTCAAGTTATTTATATCACATATTATACTATAATGCTAATCTATTATGCTTTAGGTTTCAAAAGTTATTGCGATTCATATTTTTGTATAAGAAAACATAAAAAAGGTGACGTTCTCTAGTATAAAAGCTCATTGTTTACATTCTCCTTTGATTCCATAAAGCTGAAAACAGTTTTTAATAACGCCCATCAGTATCGTTTATCATATACTCCAAATTCGATTAGATATCTCAATTTTCGATATCTCGTAAAATTAAGTTAAACTACTCTTTATCTTGGAGAATATTTATTGAAGCTAGATGTAAGTGGTTTAATTAATTTGAAAACTTTACGCTCATCAGGGATTTCAAGCAAGAAGAGACTTCATTTAAAATGTTCCTCTAAGTTGTTAGTGTGCCTTTTTGTAATAAAAAAATAAAACCATCAAGAACAAAGCACTCGAGTTCTTTTTCAATATTGACGTAAAACACCCAAGTAAGTTCAATCTAAAATATTATCCACCTTTTTACTGTCATCGTTGTGAATGTTGCTTAATGCTATATCATATATATATATATATTTCGTAAAAAAAGGTTTTTTTTTCTCTATGAGAGTAGCTTCACCATTCTTTCTCGCATTTTTTTAAAGAATGCATTCTGTCCACATCTAATATTATAGTCTTTGTATCATAAGTCAAAATCATGCAACCAGTCTTTCACATTCGCTCTGAGCTTACTGAAAACGAGGGAGAAATTCAAAAGCGTACCCCTTGACATATTTAGTGTATTTGCTCTGTACAATGCGCCGTATGTTGCAATAACCAGCCTTTGTATTCGGTCCAAGAGTCATACACTTTGTGCTCTCGGAATAATCTTATTCAGCGAGAGAGTATTCCTCGAGACAAGTAGATATACAGTTAAGACACAAACTCCTTTTATCCTAGTATTTAAAGATCGGTGAATTTGTTTTAAAAAATATTTTTTGCTAAATCTTTGTTATATAATAATTACGATTATAAAGAAAAATAAAAAGGAATTATAAGTAAATCAATATTATATTCCTATAATAAAAAATAACAAATGGTCGATCGTCAGTGTGTCGTCGTCACAACTATTGACAATTTAACAAGTAGGTACAATAAGAATTGTATATCATCAAAGGCTAATACGGATTTATTTTTATGTATAAATATTAGCTGAGTAAACTTAGTTGAATCTATGAAATAATGAATTGTGATAGCTTCAGTAAAACGTTTTCCATTATCTACAGTTTCTTGGACGCCTACATAGTTTTCGCACTTATTATACTTCATATAAATTACTGTGAAAATAACTAAGGTCATAGTAATACTGACCTATTACTGTGAGGTTGACCCTTGAATTTCTAGTCTGGGCTTGTTTGAAGTCTACTCTACATCTGTAGATGCCCTGGTCTGACGGCTTCACTCGGTCTACGCCAAGTTCCGCTGGCCTCCTCTCTGGAAGGAAGTATGCTCTTGAAGCGAAGACACTCTCGAGTGACCACCGTTCTGCGACTCCGAAGTCACGTTCCCTGGCATCAACGCTGTGAAATAAATTATCGGTTATAAATACAAAAATAAAATTCAAAACAAGTTTCTACAAGTGTCGGTGAAATTTTGTCCGTTAGTCAGATAATAGAAAAATATAAGATAAATATATTTTGTACTTCTATTTCAATTACGCTACGCCACAGTTATAGAAAATATACATAAGCATGACGTCATGTGACACTTTAACTCAATGTATCTCCGTAATTTAATGATTACGAAAAAATACTCCTTTCATTAGCAAACTATAACTGCATACAGTTATTGCTTCATTGCACATTAACAACATTACCAATAACCTCGGTGGGTATAGGTATATAATTTGCAAGCCAACAGAGAGCCGTTTGCAGCAGGTGGTCAAGGTCAATCTATATTCTATACTGTCTATACAAATATTAGAAAGAGAAAATATTTGATTGTTTGTTTGCGTTGAATATGCTCCAGAACTTAGGTTTTAAACATTCTTTCGCCTATGGCTAGCTAAATTCTACGCAGGTATCATAGGCTATAATTTGCGCGGGTATATTCGCAGGGCAGTTAGTAATGTATAATCTATGGTTAGGTATTAGGTTTGCAGGTGAAACTGTTTTACGATAGGTACACATGGCTAATTTTACAATGTAGTTTGTAAAATAGAATAAGAAGTAATTATTTCAAGTCATATATGGTATATCTGTATATTTAATGTAAGATAAATCAAATAATGTTTCACTTTCTATATGTAAATACTAGCTTTCCACCAGCGGCTTCGCCCCGTGATCTAGATTTAATTCCAGAAATGAGAAATTTCCATAAAACCTTTCATCCCCTAATTTACCCCCCCTAGAGGTTGAATTTCATAAAATCTCGTCTTAGAGAACACCTACATGTTAAAAAGAAACCACATGCAAAATTTGAAACTCCTAGCAGTTGTAGTTTCTGAAATATCGTGATGAGTGAGTGACTTTCACTTTTATACATATACAGGTAGTAAAAGAACATTAATTATTTAAGTTTTTTTTTTATATCAGACTTAAAGCTCTAATTCTATTTTGGTTCTATAAATGCTTGATATCGAAATTTAGATTAAAAATCTTTACTTTCATCCAAAAGCATTTGAAATTTATCTTAGATTTATATTTGTTACTGACATTAATTGCTGTTTCAATTTCTGTTTTGATTAAAGTGTAAATTGATCAAGAATATTTCATCGAAAGTACCATTTATTATATTATAGTATTAATACGTCAATTTAAACAATATAATTAAATTGAAACTCCGGTTGACTTTCAAGTTGACTCGTTTGAAGTGTTCTTAATACTCCTTTAGAAAACAAGGAGGATGGATGGTTTATGTTATAAGCATTTAGCTTATGTTGTAATGTCTAGTACCACAATTATTAAAATACTATGCTAGAATTCATTGCACTCGAAGTAGTTTGTGTAATTTTATAGATATTCAAATGTAGATATAAGAAATCTCTTGAAATTTAACTATCCTCGTTTTTAACATCAAAATCGCAAATTAAGGTTCTATGTTCGTCGGGTATGATTTTTTATGTTTGTTTAGCAATTTCTCCTCAAATTATAAACAGATTTTCAAAATTATTTTTTTAATCGATAATTTATGAATTTTCTTAAAATGACATTGGTAGTTTTCTTTTCACAATAAAATATATGCTTATATTTGGCAGAACGCATTTCTGTCAAATATATTTTTAAATTTTTACTACCAAATTTTTTAATATTGGGTTATATTTGTATAACCCAAAATAACAATAAGTTTCGCATTCACAATACTCTTAATGAAAATGTTTAAATCCACTTTATTCCTGAGATGGTTACTACCATTTTCATTAAGAATATTAACCAGTTTCAAAGTAAAATATATTATGATTCAAATGATATCCGCTTTGAAGGTATTACAAGCTTTTTATAATATAGATACTGATACTAAATATTGAACAATCTTTTAATTAGCGATAAAAATTTGTTTATTTTATTATAAATATATTTATTTTTTACTTAGTAAGTACAATTGGTATTGTCACTTTTTCTATTTGTAAGACCTCCATTTCCAAAGTTCTTTAACACAAGGGATACAAAATAAATATAAATTCCTTACTTTGCATCCTCCTTTGAATTTAACCAAACCCAAAGCATATATTTCGCAAGCACGCTTATAGTTTGAATGGTATTTATAGAATATTGCCAATAAGCGACTTGATGACTGGAATTCTCATTGAGTTTCCGTATTTAATATTCGAGTATCCTATTGGAAATACAATGAAGAGATAAATCTTAGTTTTAAATATTGTTTAATATTGGAATTAATTGATACATGGAATAGACGATGGGAATTAAGAACAGTGACACTATAACAGTACAATACAAATGCTTACAAACAAAAAAAAAACTGTACATAACTTTTGATGTCGGGTTTATTTGATTAATCTGCGCTCAACGAAGAGTTTGAGCTCTGTAGTGAGCTTTGTTGGTGCGTTTCAACGTATGCGTTAGTATACTCGACGAACTGTCGTATAAACGGTTTAGTTTACAAAGAAGAACATTCAGCGGATATTCCGTCGTTATATATTGCCCCTTAATCTTAGCAAATATAATTTGTGAAAACTAAGTCAAAAGTCTTTATGTACAAAATAAAAATGTTTACATCATTAACATCAGAGCGTAAATTTGCTTACAAAGAAGCTAACAATGTTCTTCTATACAAACAAGTCTCAAAGTGATGTTAGATAAATAGCTTATTACTTTCAGATGAACAGATATTATAATATCAAAGAGATCTTTGATGAGGTTTCTTTCCATATAATGAGTACAGACAATAAATTATTAAAAGTATGATATATTAGATGTTTAAATAAATTTAATGTGGATAGTGTTTTATAATTATTGGATTTTTATTGCCCCTTGTGTTTGTGCATATCCCTTTACTATGAAACAAGCTAGCTATTAAAGATATTACGACGAGCATTTCACATTTGTGTACCTATAACCTGACGTCGTGTGGACTATAGGTATATCAATTACAATAAATTTAATTTATAGGTTTAGATTATATCTGAGCCTTTAGTATCTAATGCATGTATCTTCAATACACCAATATAATTTCGCAGTCTAAGTTAACAATAGCAACAATAGTATTAGCTCGAGTGGTTGTGTAACAGTATCTACACTGACGAGTATCAGTGCATAAATTCTGCTAACATTAAGGTGATTATGATATATGGCTCTATGTCATCAATATTTTGTTTATGTGATATAATCCAAATTAAAGTTATAAGTATTTAAAAAAACTGTGAAAAAAGAAAAGGTAAGTAAATCCCTCTGGTTTCGTTTATGTTTTCAATGTAAACATACTGACAGTATGTGTGACTATTTTATACTTAGATTTTATATTTTTAAATAGTGTGGCATCGTAGGATATCTTCCCAATTTGTGACCACTATGTAACTCCGCTAATAATAATAAATAGATAAGGGTTTGACTCGTCTTGGTGGGTCAATAATATGGCCCCAATTTTAAAAATATTTTATTTATAATATGAATTTAAAAATGGCAAGAGAAGGAAATTGGTTCACGTTAGCATGGGAGTGTCGTATTAGAACGACGCGGGAAGTGGCTTGGGGAAGTCCTCGTGCATCACATCTGAGGAGAAGGACATCACCGAGTTTTAGTGGGTATGACCCTGTTATTTGACTAGCCCCAGTCTGTGGTAGATTCGCAGGGGAAAGTCCCACATAACCAGCCGACCCTGCGCTAGGGAGAGCGGGGTAAGCGTAACGCATTTCTTAGCGTCAAAAAAAAGTGTATTGAAATTCAAAAGAATACACCTCTTTAATAGACGATTATTGAGGTCGTCAACGGTGACAGACTCACACAAATTTTAATTTAAACTAATAATTTAGATTCTTGTATACGATTTTATCAATCAAAACATTTGTTGGTCAACTGCGTAATCACTCACCTGTATATAGGCGTGCCCAAGTCTTCCCTGTACCATAGAACTAGGAGTACTGCGTCATCGTCGTCCTGCGTCGAAATATCGCACGGTAGATACACGGGCTCGCCAGCAACTGCTATCACTTGTGTCATCGGTACTGCAGACAAAAAAAAGAAATGTTAAGATTTGGTTAAAGAAGGATCGTACTCATTACTATCAATTGTAGATTATGGGGAACATGAGACGTGGTTTTGTTAAAAATTAGGCACAGAAAAAAAAGTTTAGACACTAGGTGTTGAAGAATTCTTTCTTTTTAAGAATATGACTAAAGTATTCGTTAAAAACTTATTTGTAATTTTATATCAAAAAATTTTTTTCTGAGTTTTTGATACTCATTGATTGAATATTCGTGTAATATAGATAAGCAACTGTATTAACAAATTGTGTTGGTCCAGAGATTTCTAATAGGGTTAAAGACAAGATAATTATCAATAACTAGTCAATATTAAAGTTGGTATTGCTTTGAAACTATAAAATAAACAAGCGACATGATATTCCTAAAGCGTTTTAAAATTTATTGATGGACTCCGTGACCGAGTGGTTCGCGCGCCCGCTTCAAGATGTCACCATTTCTGAGGTCCCAGGGGGCCAATTCTACTAAATAAATTTTGTTTAAATCGAATCGAAAACGGATCGAAGACGGATCGAAACCGAACGAAACTATAGTTTTTAATGGTTTTTCTATTCTACTAAGTGACAAACGATACAATTCCAGCTAAAATAGAACTGGAATTGTATCGTATGTCACTTTCTGTAGTTTCGTTTGGTTTCGATACGTTTTCGATTCGATTTAAACGAAATTTATTTAGTAGAATTGGCCCCCCTGGTTCAATTCTCAGTCGCTTCATTTAAAGCAAATTAAACTTTTCTATATTGCCTTGGATTTAGGTATCGTTATATCTTCGTCGTTTCAGATTTACATGATAAAAGTTAGTTACTTAACTTTAGATTCGACCAATGTATGTTGTCTAATTTTTATTTATTTAATAGTCTATTCAGAAACTCAAATAATAATTGGATCAGTAATTAATAGATATTATATTTATAATTCTAAGGAGAAAGTACTCTCGATATTTTCGTCTGAATTTATTATAAGTTTCTAGCGAAACGAAAGTACCTTTTCTAAAGTGTACGTTACGACCCCAACATGCGTCGAATATTTCAATTATTTCTTTAATAATACTTATTTGTTATACCATTTGAAAACAAACCAATTTGCACGCATTATATTACTAGCAAATGTGTAAATATACGTAAATTCGTTAATTATAGGTACATATAGCAATAAAAAAATAAATGTATATAGATAACACAACTGATGGGATGCCATCGGTGATGAGATATAAATGTAATTGCTTCACGTATTAAGTAGTTGATTTTTTGTAATAAAAAGAATTCAAGTGCCTGTTTGTCAAGTTACCTGTCCGTGTGTATTCGATCCCGAGGCAGCAGCTAATGTAAACATGCTACGAAGGTAGCGTATTGCTTTCAATTTTCTTATCCCCCTCCTATTTTCGGTGGAAAGAGGCTGGAGGGGGGACCCAGTTTCTAGATATTGTGATTGTTTTCTGTTTACTTGAGTTAAATAATATAGAGGTAGTAAACAATATACAGGTTAATGTCTAGACCGCCTAAAAGTTTTTATTCTATCACTTTCTGTCGTGGCAAACCTAAAAGAGTTGTCTTTTTTTATTTATTTATCCTTCATTATAAATTCAAATTACATTTCATTTAACATAGGTCCCACAAAACTATTTTATAGTTTAACCGTGGGTAAGATTAATACATGCTTAAGTTATTTTAAACAATTAAAACTTAAAACGAAAGTTAATTTACAAATTTTAATACTACGTTTATTATTCTTAGGTAATAATATGAGGTTTTTTTAAGAGGGAAATTAAACTTATTTCTATTGCTTTCGTGCCTTATTAGTTCTTGTAGGTGGTAGGTTTCTTCATCTTCTCTTTTTCTTTCAAGAGGTGTATCCGTAACACGACATGGAAATTGCGCCTGTTTTGAGTTTTTATTTACACATCTTAACAATGTTTCAAATAAACAAATTTAGCGTTGGAGTAAATTTACACTGACACTGCACTCAGTGTTAGTTAAAATTCATATTATTAAAAAGAGCCATAGCAAAGGTTAACCTAGTAACCTTACGAGGCGGGAGTAATATTTACTCCTAGAAGGAAGTGAGTTTGCTTATTCTCTGTATAATATGAATTTGAACTAATACTAAAATTGCAATTATATTTTAAATTTACACCGACGCTAAACCTTTTTTATTAATACCACTGTACAGAGCTACTTTAGACTAAGTATCTAGTTTCATTAGTATGTCACCTAACTATTATGAGCTACGAGTACTCTGATAAAGAAATGTATGATCGAGATGAGTTTTTGTTCTATTTTTATTAACAGTAATAATTTTTTTTAGGAATAGTTTTGTATCTTTTTACTGAACCATTCTTATTACTGGGGAATATGTGGGAATATTTTTGAAACAAAAGCGAACTATCTATCGAACGGTAGTGCACTTTTCCAGTCGCTTGTCCGGTGCATCCGGACGTTAAGGAACGACCGGACGTCCGACCGAACGCCCCGGACGTAGATGTTCGCCTCGCGTGTCCAATTTATTGTACTCAAGATGTGTTTAATATAGAGAATGGGTATTCTTAATGTCCAGTTATATTTAGAATTAAAAAAATAAATGTAAAATATTCTGCTTTTTAAAATGATCTTGTTTCATTTCAATAAAGAGATCTTTCTTACTAGCATCGTTCGAATGATCGACATTAAAATCTCAACTGTTCTTTGTTGCTTCCGTTATAAAAAAAAAATCTTCATTAAAGTACTTTTTCTTCATTTATAATGAAAAACCCCTCGTTTTGAGCTGTCCAAGCCCTTATTTAAATCATATTAGGATAACACTTTAAATATTGATATAACTGAGGTGAATTCTTTTGAGTGTTTTATACAAAAATTTATCTGCAAAATACATTAAAAAATCATGAAATGAAATAATAATATTTATTAACAAAACTTAGCGTGTTCGTTTAAAATAAGGCTTTATCTTTAAGTTGTTAAAGAATAGTTTCGAATGAAATATAGCTTTTGGCAAAGGGACTTTGAATAATTAAAAAAACTTTTCATCTGTTTATTCGGCGTTGGGGTTGCAATTGTGCCAATTTTGAAGTGGAGGGTTCTCGAGCGCTTTAGCTTTGGACTCGCCCAGTTCGGAAGCGAAGTGCCATCAAGTAATGAACTATTTTTTCCACAGTCACAGTAAGTAGTTGAAAATTGTAACGTTTATTTTAGTTTGTAACATTATTCGTAATGATTCTATGAACATCAAAAGGACTTGCTGTAATGTTATTAGTCATAGATTTTGTTGGCATGGTAACAACAGAGTTACTTGTCAATATTATATTGCCGGTAATCAAATATTTAGTTTCATGTGACCTTCCTCTTCTATAGCTAAAAATGGTGGTAAATAGAGATAAATTATTCGAAATAGTTCAAATTTTGACTTAAACATATAGGCTTTCTTGTCTTATCAATTTATCAACTGGTAGAAAATAGTTGAAAAAAAATGCTAAAAAAAAGTCGCAGAGCAATTCAATGCAACCTCTTGAGAAAATATACTTTGAAATTCAATAAATATAAGTAAATATAGGTTTGTAAACCCTTTTTTCTTGTTGTGAACTGAGCAGCAATCTTGATTATGCTACTGTAATCTGGTCTCCTCACTACACTGCCAAAAGATAGAAAGAGTACAGTGGAAGTTCATGAAAATTTTACCTTATAAATGTGGTCTTGGTAGAACCTAAACATCCTATGCAGAAAAAATGGATCATTTTAAAGTTGCAGCTCTAGATATCCGCAGAAAACAGCAGGATCTTCTGCATTTGTATAAAATAATAAACTCTAGGCTTGAATCTCTTAATTCACTAAAGCTTTTAAACTTCAACACTAAGCTGTTCTCACCAAAACCGTAAGCAGAGATTATTTGTATTGCAAGCCTATAAAAATAACACTTCTTACTTTAACCCCATCGTAAGAATGTGTCGTCTTTATAATGAAACCGTCCAACTCAAAACTGAATTAGATTTATTTAAACCCAAGTATGTCGCCTTCAAGTTTCAGGTTAGGTGAGTTCTCGAGTCTCTTTCCAACGGCTAACAAATTAATCCAATGGCTAAAACACCTTTTGAAAAAAAAGTCTACAAGTTTGTGGTATATTCATATTCGGGAATATGAATATACCACTAACTTGTAGAACTTCGGGAAAAATAAATGTAATATGGGCACATACTCATTAGAGGTTGACAATAAAGTTATTAAAACAGATGAAGCGGTTCCCGATAAATTTAGGAAATTCTTTTCGAAGGTACCAATAGAAATCACTAAAAATCTTAGTTAATGTTCTAGACTTGCGGTTACTCATCTAGAGTCAGTTATTGACAAGTGCAATATTGAATTTAATTTTAGACATGTTAACGACAACTCAATTATTAAAACATTTTATTCCATTAATGTCAAAAAACCGAAGATCTTTGAACCGTTTCAACTTAAGTTATCAAATCTATAATACTATCTATTGCATTTATAAAGGAACTTTTCCTAATTTTATGAAATATGGTAAAATAATTCCACTTTTTAAAGCCAGGCGACAAGTCTGATCCCAATAATTTCAGACCAATATCTATATTACCAGCGGTACGTAAATTTGAGAAAATTATTTACAGTCAACTGTTTACACACTTTTCGTTAAATAATTTACTTCACAAAAATCAGTTTGGTTTTAGCAGAGGTAAATGTACCACAGTTGTTGGAATTGCATTTCTAATACGAAAAATTCACTTAATCTAATACCATCATATCTTCCTGCTAGAATACAAAAAGTAGTAATTAATAAAGCCAAATCAGCAGTGGCACCCATTACTATGGGCGTACCTCAGAGATCTGTATTAGGACCATTGCTTTTTCTAATTTACATTAATGATCTACCTCAATTTATGTAGAATTTGTGCGAGACAGTATTATTTGCAAATTATACCTCTCTAGTGTTTAAAGTTAAGAGAGGTAATAT